ACTACGTCATGTTGTACCTAACGCGAAACACCATTGAAAATGCATGTCCCAATAGTGGTACGCGATGTCCCAATGGTGAAACGTACATGTTATTTCAATGGAATCTATGTGTTTCACCAATGGGACATCTAAAATTTGAAGTTATGTTTTGAGTTGTACGTATAATGAAACAGCTATTTTTAAAAACTTTTTTTTTTATTGTAATGCAATTGAAAATAGATGATAAGTTTTATTGATATAATAAGACACCACTTTTAACATCTGAAATTAATTTATTTCATGACAAAATTCTCAAACGTTTATTAATTATTGACTGTTCCACTATTGGGACATAATCAAAAAGTGCGTCCCAGCATCGGTACTTTTACCTTATTTGGTTTTATCTTTGTCCCTAAACCTTTGTTTCCTCCTCAGGATATCCGACGGCGAGCACCCGGAAATCCTGACGCTCGGGCCGGACACGGTGGCGAGTCTGGCGACAGATGGCTCGGAGTATAACGCGTCCTCGGGAGCAGCGATTAACGGGGAGGACGAGCTGGCGGAACTCGTGCGGCTGTCCGAGTTGCTCGGGACGAACGGCACCAACGAGACAACGGAGGAGCGGGAAGCCGAGGTCGTCGTGGTCAGGGCCGAGCAAAAGAGGCCCGGGGATGCCGAGCAGAAGCGGACCGAGCCTCGAGAGGTCCACCTCGTGAGTTCATTTTCTCCTTCTCCAAGTCAAAAAACGCGATGTTGCGTCATCGGCCCTTACACCTTTAATGGGATAAGATGTGCGAGAACTTACAATCTTATAATTATATCATGTATATGAGTTTGCCGCGATAGTGTATACACGCGAATGATCAGTTTTGGATAAAATAGTTGAAACGTAATGATTTTCGTGCGTGACTGTTCCGTAGAGTATACACAAAGAGAACTTGTTAATCTTATTATTAATCGGGTGTCAAGATACATCCATCGTGTTGATCTCAAATTTTTTGGACCAGTATCCTCTTGATACATTACATTGAGTATAATATAGATCATTTGTTATTGGAGAGGAAAATTGTGTTCCCTCTGTACTTTTTGTAGGTACCGCAATGTTGGGAGAACAAAAAGATATGTTTAGTTTGCTACAACTTTACTAGTGATTTCCTCTGAAACCAATAAACAAAAATGGTTGCAGATCACTGTGAAATACAACTTTTGTGTATCATTACCCTTTTTTTTGACAAAGTAATTTATTAATCCATATTTTGCTTTCTACGCTCCGAATCCCGAAAACCGTTGTAAATTGATCATAAAATCGTTACTCAGCATAAAAATTTTCGGGCAACCTTTTATAACCATTTTTGGCTCGCATACCAGTTAAATACGTTTTAGCACGCTTAGCGTTTGAAAAATACAGTACAATAATCTCCACAGGAGACAGAGGATCAGCAGAGAGAATGGCCCAAGAGCCCGACTACCGCGCCGGAATTGAACGACAGCGCAGCCAGGGCGCAGCTGACCGGAAGCGCCGACGACAGCACGGCTGCCATCCTCGACAGCCTCGTTACAACGGGCCCAGGCAGCAGCGAGCCTCACGAGGATATGCCCTCGTTCAACGAGTGGGCCCAGAAACGCCTCGTCGAGGAAGCCGAGAAGAAAAAGAGTGAGTTTCCATTTGGTTCCTTCACCAGAGAGGGGACGCGTGGGCTTTTTTTCATGTGTGGGCGAACTAGCTGTAATCATTGCGAAAGAGAGTCGATAAGAGCTTGCGCTCTGCTGCGTGTGTGTTGTACGCGTTTTGTTTCTTTTACTGTAGTCTATGTGTATAGCATGTGTGGCTCGCGAATCGGAATTCCAACTCGATCCGATTTCTATTGGTATATGTTCGCGTCGAGTTGCGGCTTGGACATTTTTATCGATTGAAAATATTAGAAAATACACATTCATTCAGGTTGAAAAGCTTTTTTTTTCTTTTTTTTTTCATACCAAACTGGTTGAAACAGTATTTTTGCCGTATATCCATTTCAAAACGTGCTTGTTATCTCTTTGCAAAACATGATCCGACAATCACTCATTTTTTTTTTTTTATTTCAATGTTTGCATTGCATTCTTGCGTGTTTAATCGTCAGTCGATTGGTTGTGGCTGAATATATAACCGATCAATACCGATGCGATGGACGACATAATTTATTTATGTATGATATTTTGTAGGTATATTTTTTGTTGAGCTTTGGTGTATAGAGCTGGTGAAATAATTTTATGAACTATAAACGCGGTTTTTTTTTTTTCTAAAACGATCGTTAACTCTCTGTGTTGGGCAATTGTTAGAAAACAACATAAATTTCAACACATTTCAAACGCATGAGAAAAAAAAGAACGGCTGAAAAAATAAATAAATGAACAAAAAAATTTCAGCACACCCGAACGCATCGGTGCAAACGGCAAATGGTGTGCCGGTCCGCGGCCTCGGGGGTATACGGATGCGATCGAAAAACTACGCGTCACCGGACTGCGGGGCCAAGGTCGTGGCTGCCACTCCGGAGTCCAGTAACGCGCGCAACATCCTCGTTTCGTCGCGCGACGAGTACATGCTGAACGCGTGCACGACGCGCGTCTGGTTCGCCGTCGAGCTCTGCGAGGCCATACAGGCAAGGAAAATCGACCTCGGTAAGTATATATAGTTGCATATTTTTGCTAGTGCCAATGTCTGCGAAAATTTATCTTTATAAGGATATTCGATTAGCTGTTTCGTGCGATTATGGAAATTCGTAAACAGTACGTGTAAGGTGGGGGAAAAGTGTAATATTTTTTCGCTTTAATAACAAAAAATGGACGTGACCTATTTTTGATTTAAATATAATCACACTGTTCTTGTTCGTTACTTTTACATTTGATTTAAAGTCCGACGCACGTTTTATTTTTACGTTATTCGTATTTAGGTAATTATTTGGGGGGGACAGTATTCCATTGAGGACAAAAGGACATTTATTTCGAAAAATCGTATATTATACACCGGAAAAAAAAAAGATCCACCATATATATAATATATAGGCCCACCAACAAATTCTGTAACCGTTTGTTTTAGCGGAAAAGTAAAAAAATCACTAAGCGCGTCTAAGGTAAAAGTACCGATGCTGGGGCGATTTTTGGTAAAATTTCGTTTAAAAATTCATATAAAATCACATCTAGGAAATAACATGAACATTTAAATTGTTATTTATATATTTTGTGTTCCTACT